ATCTAAATTTTAAAAAAAAGCATCTGACACTGTTCAGGAGTCATTCTTAAATCAAAATACAAATTAAAATAGGAACATAAAAAATTAGTTAAATATTACAATGACTATCAAAAAATCAGCAGAAAACATTATGCTAAAAAAAGGCCCAGATCAGAAGACTTAGTATCGTTAAGATGGCAATATTCCCCCAAATGACATACAGATTCAACATGATCCCTATCAAAATCCCATCTGGTATTTTTGCAAAGGGTAACAAGTAATCCTAAAATTCATATAGGAATGCAAGAGAACAGCCAAACAGCCAAAACATTGAATAAGAAAATGGAAGACACACATTCCCATTTCAAAACTTTCTACAAAGATACACAAATCAACACAAAGTGGTACTGTCATAAGGGTAGACATACAGATGAACGAAACAGAATTGAGAGTTCAGAAATAAACCCTTACATTTATGGTCAACAGATTTTAGTACTGTTCCAATACTATTTAACAGAGCAAGAAAAGTCTATGACATCAAAAGCATAAGCAACAGAAGAAAAATATGGATAAACTGGACTTCATCAAAGTTAAAAACTTTTGTGCTACAAAGTCACCATCCAAAAACTGAAAATGCACCCACAAAGTAGCAGAAGATATATGCAAATCACAAGTCTGACAAGGGACTTGTATCCAGAATATATAAAGAACGCTTACAATTCAATAATACAAAGACAAATAACCCAATTTAAAAAAACAGGCAAAGGATTTGAATAGCTATTTCTCCAAAGAAGATATACAAATGGCCAATAAGCACACTGTCTTGGAGTGTTTGGGCTGCTATAATGAACGGCCATGTTTATGGTCACTTAAACAACATTCATTTCTCACAGTTCTAGAAGCTGAGAAACCCAAAATCACAGCACCAGCAGTTTTGGTGTCTGGTGAGAACCTGCTTCCTGGTTCACAGGTGGCTGTCTTCTTGCTGTGTCCTCCTCACATGGCAAAAGGGACAAGGAGGTTCTTTGGGGTCTCTTTTATAAGGGTACTAATCCCATTCATGTGGTCTCCACCCTCATAACCTAATCTCCTCCAAAAGGCCTTATGTCCTATTACTGTCACATTGAGAATTAGGATTTCATCATATGGGTTTTGGGGGGATATAAACATGTAGTCCACTGCATACACAAAAAGATGGTCAACATCAATAGTCATTAGGGAAATAGAAATCAAAACCACAATGATATACCATTTTCACATCCACTAGGATTGCTAGAATCAAAAAGACAGCAACAAGTGGTGAGGATGTGACAAATTAGAGCCTTCACACATTGCTGGGAGTATGTAAAGTGGTTGTGCCATTTTGAAAAGCAATTTGGCAGTTCTTTAAAATTTTAAACATAGAGGTACCATATGATCTGGCAATTCTACTCCCAAGAGAAAAGAAAACATATATCCACACAAAAACTTGTACCCAAATGTTCACAGCTGCATTATTCATAGTCAAAAAGTAGAAACCCAAATGTCCATCAGCTGATGAGTGGATAAACAAATGTGGTATATCTGTATATAAAGCAGTATTATTCACTAATAAAAAAGAATGAAGTACTGATACATACTATAGCATGGATAAATCTTGAAAAACTATGCTAAGCAAAAGAAGATAGCCACAAAAGATAACATATTATATGATTCCATTTATATGAAGAGTCTAGAACTGGCACATCTATAGAGACAGAAAGTAAATTAGTGGTTGTCTATAGAGAGGGGTATTGGGTGGGAATGAGGAAGGAGCACAATGTTTCCTTTTGGGGTGATGAGATGTTCTAAAACTAGATTGTGGTGGTAGTTGTACAACTATGAATATACTAAAAAACAATGAATTGTAAGCTTTAAATGGGTGAGGATTATAGTAGGTGAATTATATCAATAAAGCTGTTAGAAAAAAAAGATCATGTAGCTAGTAAGTGGCCATGCAGGATTTCAAACCCATATCTGGCAAGGGGAAAGTAACTCAATATTTGTTGAATGCATGAACGAACACCTTTCACTCTTAAATTAGCAACAAGATAGGCAAACCCTCTATCAAGTATCACTCAACATTGTTTTGAAAGCTCTAGCTAATGCAATAGAAGATGATATAATCAGAATAAATATTTGAAAGGGAGAGTATCATTGTTAATTGAATGTGATATGATATATAGGAAACTTAAACTATAAAAAGCAACTAGAATTCACATGAGAATTTGAAATTGTATTGGATAAGATGTAAAAACAATAAAATTACAAAGTTTGATGGATATTTTCTATGAAAAAAGAAAAAAAATGCTATTCCCTATGATAAAAAAGTAAAATATCTAAGAATGAAAATATCTAAGAAAAACATGCTGGATCTATAAGAAGAAAACTGTAAAATATTATAGTGTTAATGGCTGTTTTTGAAATGAAATAAAATGGGTTTTAACATTCATATGGATAATAAATGCTAAGGAATATGAAAGAAAAACAGCCTAAAAAAAGAATAGCGAAGGAACTAACATTATTCAATATTCAAAGTATTTCTAAAGTCAATACAATTTTTTGAAATGGAGTAGATACATACACCAGAAGAAAAAATCGAGTTCATAAATAGAACAATATACATTTGGGAATTTATGTGACAAAGATGGCATTTAACTGAGTTAGAAAAAGGTATTGATTTAATGACTTGTGCTGGCAAATTTTCTACCCAAATAGAAAATACCAACTTTGATCTCATCTCACACCACACACCAGAATAAATCCAGTTGAATTAAAATTTAACTTTAAAAATTAAGACAGTAAAAATGTTAAGTTTAAGGCATATATTTGTTTAAGCACAAAGCAAGGAGAACTCACTTGGAAAGACAAGATACTCAGAAGGAAAAAGACAGACATATCTAATCAAATGATTATTTTTTCTAATTATATGAGAAGACATCTTTCAAAATTCAAGATATAAGGAGAGATAAAGAAAAAAAGATTACAAATGATAAAAGGTTGGTAAGAAAGACAAACCATCTAAAGCATAAAAGGAGCAAAGGATATGAAATTTTAGGAAATACCAATAGAAATGGCCAATAAATATGAGATGTTCAACCACTAGTTGTCAGAAAAATGCACATTAAAGTAAACTAGATACTTTTGTGTTTGGCCGTTACAGTGGAGAACGATAAAAAAGCAGCAATATTAGTGTGGGAGAGGATCTTGGAATAGGCCCTTTTATATGTTGCTGGTGGGAGTTCCACATTTACAAAAGTTTTAGAAAATAACTTAACGTTCAATACATACCATCTACTTTTAAGGAACATCCATTCCTGCACCTGATGATCACTGAGGTGACAGTCTGATTGTCATTTAGAAATCAATGACAAAAATTTCAATTTGGGGGGAATCAAACTCTCCTATCTAAATAACTAAGGAGTCAGAGAGACGACAGATATTAGAAAACATTAGGAGTAAACTACAGTGAAAATGTCATATCAAACTTGTGATGTGGCGCTAAAGTGTTCAAGAAAAATTCATTAACTTAATAGACTTATAAAAGAAAATGATTTAATATTAGTTAGATAAGCATTCGATTTAGGAATTTGAAAATAATATATTTGACAAATCCCAAAGAAAATAAATAATGAAACCAAGGGCAGAAATTAATGACACAGCAAAGACACAGGAAGACCAACGAAGTCAAAGTAGGTTTTTGACACAATGCCATCCCAGTCCTCCGACCACCTATCCCTGAGCCCAGGAAGCAGCATATCTGATTCCAAAGGCCCATCCATCACTAGTCCCGAATAAATGCATCACTCACACCCCAGAAACCTTAACCATCACCCAATAAACCCCATCATAGACCCTGCAACACTCAACCTAGGGTCCTCATCACTCCACTCAAAACCTCTGCCTCACTCACTCATAGACTTTCCAGTACTCAACCCAGACTCTCCACCATTCACTTCCCAGACCACCCATTAGTTTCCTCAAAGACCCTCATCACTCACCCCACTGAACCCATCATTCATTTTACAGACCCATCACTTACCCCGCTAACCCCCTATGACTCACTCCATAGACCCCATCAGTGAGGTTCCTCCTCACTCGCCCCAGACTCCTCATCGCTCACCCTGGGGACCCCGCATCAGTGACCGCCACAGACTACCCGTTACCTTCCCCACTGACTCCAACACTCATGCACAAACCCGTCACTCACTCTGCGAACCCCCTCCTGAGGGACTCCAGAGAAGCCCCTTCACTCACCCTACAGAGTCCCACCACTGAGTACGGAATCCAGGTCACAACACACCCATAATTATGTCAAGGCTTTCCTGGCCCTAAGCCGCGGAACCCTAAGTGCTGAAACTGCCTCGGAGGGAGGGGCTCTTCTGTTCCTGGACTTCATCCTGCACATGCTCAGTGTCAGCTCGACAGCGGCCGCCCCCTACAATTAAACGGTGTCTGCATGCGTGTGCGGGTGTGTTATGCTGGAGGAGAGGCGGGCTTTCAAATTTTCTTTCGTGACTTTGTCAGGCAGCTAACATGGCTGGCCCCTCGGAAGTCTGCACGGGAGCCGCCATCTTGGAAGGGTGGTCACTCCTGCCGCAGAGCCAGCAGGCCCCGTCCGGTCTTCCCTGGCGGAGCTGTCCAGTAGCCAGCCGGTGGGGTCAGCCCGCGGCCACAGCCCTCGCCTTGTCTCGCCGCCGCTGCCGCCGTCCCCATAGCGGCCGCCCAAGAGCAGGCCCGGCGCCTTCCCTTCCCCGCGCGCAGAGGCCCCGCCCTCAGGCCGTATCCCGGAGAGCCGCGGCTTCTCCACGCGTCGCTACGCCACCCCCGCCCCGCCGGCCGGCGCCTGCGAGAAAGTCCCCTCCGAGCAACGGTCCCAGAAATTGGCACGCCCGCACGCCCGCACGCCCGGCCCCGCCTCCGCTGCTCCCGGCTTCCGAACGGCTCCCGGTGGGCGCGGGCGGCTGGCGGCGGCAGGGCCCAGGGAGGCGTGGCGTGCCCACCTGACTGCGCCTCGCTCCATCCGTCGGTGGTGGGAATGGCCCGGCTCCCCGTCTGTCACCGGCCCCCGGGAGCTGCCACGGAAGAATAGAACGTGTCAGATTTAGACCAGGAAACCGAAGTCGTCCGCAGCGAGACTTTAACCACTGTGGGGGCGGGGGAAGCTGAGGTGATGTAGCGCGTGGAGGGAGTAACTGGGGGATCTGAGACATCAGTGGTGGTGCATTTCATTCATTTTTTTTAAAGCAGGTCACCAACCTTTCTGGTTTTCCTATATAATCATTAAGGCTAAAGTTCTCTCTAAAGATCAAGTTTTGATTAGTGTTCTGGTGTCAATTGCTAATTGCAACTTTTTGCTTTTTAGAAAGTCACTGATATACAGTCTTATGTTGGTTTCAAATATACAACACAGTGGTTCAACTGTTAACATTATTTTTTATTAAGGTTTTGATATACACTCTTATGAAGGTTTCACATGAAAAAACAATGTGGTTACTTCATTTACTCTTACTATCAAGTCCCCACCCATACCCTATTGTACTCACCATCCATCAGTGTAGTAAAATGCCACAGATTCACTATTTGCCGTCTCTGTGCTACACTGTCTTCCCTGTGACCCCTCACACCATGTGTACTAAACATAATACCCCTCAATCCCCTTCTCCATCCCTCCGCACCTGCCCCCCCTCACCCCTCCCCTTTGGAAACCACTGAAGGGCCCCCACCAGTAAGATGGCAAACTTCCGGCTTCTCTTCGGGGGGGTCCTCGGTTCC